TAAAATTGTAATATTTAATACTAAAATAGCTTTATTTAGTGAGTTTTTGCCATATGCCCAGCAGTGTGTGTACTTTAAGCATTATTGAATTAAATTCTTCCAACAACCTTTTGAGAGTAGGAATTATTCTTGTCCTCATTTTATGGATAAGAAAACTGAGGCTCAGAGAGCAAGTTACCCCAATCATCTTACTAGTAAGTAGGAGAGCCAAATTTAACTGCAAAACCTCTGCTTCAGTGTTTCCCTTTGGTTTTCTTTTATACTCTTAAAATCAATTCATAAAACAATTAGATTTAAGGAGTATATAATTAATTTTTAACCCTCTATACTATTGAAGTCATCTTGTTATATCTTTACTGAAGACCAGTTATTTCACTTGGGGCCAGAAGTTAACAATTGACAAGTAATTGTACTCGTAAATTGTCTGTTCTACTCTGTATAATATCAATATTTACAAGGTTGGTACTTTTTATTCTCTTATATTTGAAAGCGAGTTTGCTTTTTTTAATTCTTTTTTACGAATAGGACTCAGGATCTGAAGACGAAAAAGCATCATATTCCAGTGGTTGACCGCACTCCACTTGAGCCCCCGCCAATAGTGGTAGTGGTGATGGGGCCTCCGAAAGTTGGAAAGAGCACCTTGATACAGTGCCTCATTCGGAACTTTACTAGGCAGAGGTTGACTGAGATCAGAGGCCCCGTGACGATTGTGTCAGGTAAGGGGTGCTGCCACAGAGCTGGTGTGGTAGGTGTTGTGTGAAGGACGTGCGTGTCTTTGTTGTTTTCTTGAGTGGAAAATGTTAAAGTAATATTGTCACGTCATATTACCTCTCTTGTGTTTTTGTTAAGTTGGCTGTAGCTTCAGAAAAGGTTGGATCCTCGAGATACTGATGTAGATGTATACCTGATTTTGACTGCTCTATGGCTCTGCCAAGTGTGTTCCTTGGAAAGGCTCAGCAGGCCTGGTCACCATGAACACGTTCATTTAACAGACCATAGGTATCTCTTGTGTGCCAGGTGTACCTGCTTGCACTCACGAAGCCACATTCTTATGGAAATGGGACAGAGTTTTCTCTCTTGTCCCTGTGAGAATTTGTCTGCTTTGGGAGATGGTGACCTTTCTAAGCTTGAGGGAAGATGAAACAGATTGCCAAAATGGCAATGGTAGAATCTGAAATCCTATTAATGGTGATAATGTAGTGGGATTAAAGCTTTAGAGTATCCTTATTTTCTTGACCATTTATTTTCTTTTAACCATAATTTAGAAATAGTTATTGTTCCACGAATATTCTGTTGCATTAGGTTTGATGATATTTTTAGCTACAGTGAGAGTATGGGAAAATTTGATAGGAGATAAAAGCATTGGCCTGCAGCTGACCAGCACGGTCATCATGAAGACTGTCCAGTCAGAATTTTCCCTGTTTGAGCACGTATTCATTTGAGTAGATTTTTGATATTATTTTGAACTTAAAAAGAACATAGCAAGAGAGCAAGATGGAATTTATTTTACCTGTTTTCTCCTATAAAAATGAACTTCTGGCACACTCCTGTAAACATATATGGTGTTTTACTGGATGCAATTAAAAAATGATAAATAGAGTTAATGGATAGAGTTTTTTTCAGGATTTTTTAAAGTAAAATTTTCATCTTTTCACTTACAGGTAAAAAGCGCAGACTCACCATTATTGAATGTGGGTGTGACATTAACATGATGATTGATCTGGCTAAAGTAGCAGATCTGGTAAGTCAGCGGGGGCAGCCTGGGATGCTGACGGATACGTATAGCAAGCAGTGTGATAGGTTATTTATCCCGTGTTGAAGGGAAGAGAATTTTATGATTATTAAAGGAATGGTGCGTATCATCAGGGATATAATAAGTGTGATTGAATTGATAATAATTATTGTTACCTTAATAAAAATGGAATGTGCACAATGAAATGTATTCTGAAATCTAAACGCAAACCACAGGGTAGAGAAAACTTTTAATGAACATAGCTAATTAAGAGCTCAGTAACTTATACATACATATGTATAAATATATAATAGTAAATAGCATTTCTTGGACTTTTCTTGGCACTGTGCTAACTGCTTTCTACAAATTTAGCTTATGTAACCCCCAGTACACCTATGAGGTGAGTAGGTATTATCTGCAGTTTGCATATGATGAGATTGATGCTCCCAGCAATTAAGTAACTTGTCTGAGGATGGGACCCCTG